CCGGGCTGGGGATTCGAACCCGCCACCTTAGGTGTACGTGGCTGGCGCCTTAGCCGGTTGAGCTATAGGCGCCGAGCCATCAAAATTAAATTTATTGACTTTAATAATAATACCATGGTAAGTGAAGATACTATGTCTAGGCTGAGGTGGTGGCTCACATCTATAATCCTTGCACTCTGGGAGGCCACGGCAGGTGGACTGCCTGAGCTCACAGGTTCCATACCAGCCAGAGCAAGACCCCATCTCTAAAAACAGCTGGGCGTTGCGGCAGGCGCCTGTAGTCCCAGCTACTTGGGAGTCTGAGACAAGAGAATCACTTGAGCCCAAGAGTTTGAGGTTGTTGTGAGCTGTGATGCCACAGCACTCTACCAAGGGCAACAAGTAAGACTCTGTCTCGGAAAAAAAAAAAAAGACACTATGTCTAGTTTCAGGAAATATCCACTGAAGGATTTAGGAATAAAGGGATATCATGTATGCAATGGACCCTCAAATTGTCCAGGAAAAATGTATATATAAAGCCTTATAAATATACTAAAATATTCAAATCCATTCCTCTATTAATTAGAGCTTCTGAATAGTCCTGTGAAGAGTTAAAATTGGCCTCATCCTCATATGACAAAAAAAGAAACTCCAAGTTAAATGTTTATCCAGATGCTACTAGATAGGAGATTACAAGTACAGATACCCAGATGTATCAAAGCCAATGTCAGAATCTGAGTCAGAGAAATTATTCACATGGACAGTGGTAACTGGTTTCCTACGAGGGTCCAAAGAGAAAAACTTAACTCACCTGAACATTGAAGAACTGCCGTGGTGTCACATCTGTGTAAGTTCCAAAAACTGTAATAGAATGACAAGAAAGAATAAGGGATGTTTGCCACACTCTTGTCACTCACCCTATTCCTACCACCTAAGTGCATTTCAATTCTAGAGTACTGCTAGATCTTAAGGGCAGGTTCAGAAACTAGAAGTCCTTCCCAGCTACTCAGGAGCTGAGGCAGGAAGATCACTTTAGCCCACGAGTTTGAGACTAGCCTGGGTAATATAACAAGACACCATCCCTAAAAGAAAGGGAAAAAAAGAAACCAGAAGTCCTATTGGAGCAACAGAGTATGACAAAAACAACCAACAGCAAAGAACATACTGAAAGGCTTGTCATTTGGGAAAAGAAAAACAACTAACTAACAAAAAACCCCAAAATGACAGGGTGGCATCTATGGCTCAGTGAGTAGAGCACTGGCCCCATATACCTAGGGTGGTGGGTTCA